GGACAGCTGCCTCAGCCCAGGTGGACTCCCATGCACCAGGTGGGCCAGGACAGCTGCCTCAGCCCAGGTGGACTCCCATGCACCAGGTGGGCCAGGACAGCTGCCTCAGCCCAGGTGGACTCCCATGCACCAGGTGGGCCAGGACAGCTGCCTCAGCCCAGGTGGACTCCCATGCACCAGGTGGGCCAGGACAGCTGCCTCAGCCCAGGTGGACTCCCATGCACCAGGTGGGCCAGGACAGCTGCCTCAGCCCAGGTGGACTCCCATGCACCAGGTGGGCCAGGACAGCTGCCTCAGCCCAGGTGGACTCCCATGCACCAGGTGGGCCAGGACAGCTGCCTCAGCCCAGGTGGACTCCCATGCACCAGGTGGGCCAGGACAGCTGCCTCAGCCCAGGTGGACTCCCATGCACCAGGTGGGCCAGGACAGCTGCCTCAGCCCAGGTGGACTCCCATGCACCAGGTGGGCCAGGACAGCTGCCTCAGCCCAGGTGGACTCCCATGCACCAGGTGGGCCAGGACAGCTGCCTCAGCCCAGGTGGACTCCCATGCACCAGGTGGGCCAGGACAGCTGCCTCAGCCCAGGTGGACTCCCATGCACCAGGTGGGCCAGGACAGCTGCCTCAGCCCAGGTGGACTCCCATGCACCAGGTGGGCCAGGACAGCTGCCTCAGCCCAGGTGGACTCCCATGCACCAGGTGGGCCAGGACAGCTGCCTCAGCCCAGGTGGACTCCCATGCACCAGGTGGGCCAGGACAGCTGCCTCAGCCCAGGTGGACTCCCATGCACCAGGTGGGCCAGGACAGCTGCCTCAGCCCAGGTGGACTCCCATGCACCAGGTGGGCCAGGACAGCTGCCTCAGCCCAGGTGGACTCCCATGCACCAGGTGGGCCAGGACAGCTGCCTCAGCCCAGGTGGACTCCCATGCACCAGGTGGGCCAGGACAGCTGCCTCAGCCCAGGTGGACTCCCATGCACCAGGTGGGCCAGGACAGCTGCCTCAGCCCAGGTGGACTCCCATGCACCAGGTGGACCAGGAACCAGGCAGCCCACACCAGACCAGACGGGGGGCTCTGCGGGAAGGGACCGGCACCCCCGGGACCTCACTTACTCTTGAGGGCGCCGATGAGCGACTTCCCGTCCTTGATGAGCTCCTTGATGAACTTGTTGGTCTTCTCCAGCTCGGCCTCGTGGGAGCGGAGGCGCTCCCGGAACTGGGGGCTATCCAGGCAGCACTCGCTGAACTCCAACGACGGCAGCCCCACGGTGCCGGCC